TAACCAGAAGGCTGGTGGTTCAAACCCACCAGCCACTCCTCGGAAGGAAGGTTGGGCAATCTACTTCCATAGTGATACTGCCTCGGAAACCCAAGGATGGGTCACTATGAGTTGAATCTGACTCCATGGCGTGAGTTTGGTTTGGGTGAAAATTGACAAAGCAAATTCATTTTCCATACATGAATTCATATGTGTTTTGTTTCATGGCATTCACTGAGATTCCCATAATGTACCAACTCTCTTCCCACTTCCTTCCTGTGATTGACTACCGTTTCCCTCTGTTCTTTGCTATGCATTCTCACCCTCTGGGATATCTCCCTGTGCAAATACTGCCCTTCTGATCTCCCATGATGGATTGTCCTAAGGAGTGTACCTACCTAGAATAAATGTTCACCTTATATGCCTATCTATCCTTTAGCTGGAAGCCATGGGAGTGAGTTCCATTCCAGGCTTGAAGGATGACTAAGGGCCATAGTCTTGGGGGTTTCACCAGTCTCTATCAGATGACTAAGCCTGATTTGTTTTATAATCATATGACAGCATCTTATATTTCATTTCTGCCCACAGTTCAGACACAAGCTTTCTTGGTTCCCGAGATTTCAAATTTTCCACTTGTCATCAGCATTCGAGATACATCCCAGCCTGTCCTCTCCTCAGTCCTCTGCCACTCCCTCCTCCTTGCATGCCACTACTTGGTGAATATCAATTAGGGAAGCTCCTTACAGTGCACAGCTGAGCAACTCCTTCCCAAACTTCAAGTTTGGTTTGAGAGTGGATGACATGGCCCTCCCCAGCCACCCCACACCACGCAGGGGTTGTTCCTCTGCAGTTGACTGGGTTCACTGGTATTCAATTAGTCAGAGAGTTCCCACCACCGATCAAGTCTCACCTCAAGGGTACACTTAGGCCTTCAGACTGGCTTGTTCAGAAAGAATTTTGTTAAAAGGCATTTTTAGCTCCATTCTATCATTTTCAGATTATAATAAATGGAGAGAATCTAGAATGATGGCAGACTTCTCACTAGTGAAGTAGTAAAAGGGGAAAAATGGTCTGAATGCAGGAGGGAGAGAAACAACTGCCTGCAAAGTATTCTGGGTCTAAAGTTGGGAAACTCCTTATATATAAACTTTTTATTGTGGTTTGGGTGAAAGTTTACAAAGCAAATTGGTTTTTCATTCAACAATTTATACACATTTTGCTTTGTAACACTGATTGCAACTCCCACAATGTAACAGCACTCTTTCCATTTCCTCCCTGAGTTCACCATTTCCATGATTCTTCTTTCCTATCCCTTCCTGCCTTCTGAGCTTTATCCATGAGCAAATGCTGCCTTTTTAATCTCACCCACGAATATATATACGTTTGACAGACTACAGTCCTAAATATGTATCTCTATGTGCTGAAAATATATCCATGAATATGATAGAGCATACGGGGAGCAAAATTATGAAAACTTCTTAGCCATAACCAAACACCTAGAGGGAATAAGTCCATGGGACCTGGGGTCTCAGGACCATAGTCTGAGGGAACGTCAGCTTCAATTGGCATAACTGAGTCAAATGTACCATAACATAGAACAAAGAAAATGTTCTACATCCTACTTTGGTGAGTACTGACTAGAGTCTTAACAGCTTGTGAGTGGCCATTTAAGGTACAACTATTGGTCTCTCCCTATCCAAAGCAATGAAGTGTGAAGAAAATCTAAGACACACGGAAACAATTCATGACCACAAGACCTGAAGAACTAGATGGCTCCTGGCTGCACTACTGATTGCTCTAAAAGGGATCACATTAGGAGGTCCTGGGTAGAATGGGAGAAAAATGTAGAACAAAATTAAAAATAATCAAAAAATGTCAAGGTTTACTGGTTTGATAGAGACTGATGGAACCCCCAAAACTATGGCAGTTAGACACCATTCAGGCCTGGAACTGAGCTCACCCCATGGCTCAAATTTCAGCCAACAATTAAACCAAACTCATTGCCATCAAGTTGATTCCCTTTGTGTTTCTGAAATGGTAAATCTTTACAGAAGTAGATTGCCCAGTCTTTCTTCTGTGGAGTGGCTAGTGGGTTTGAACCTCCAGCTTTCTGGTTAGCAGTCAAATGCCTTAAGCACTACGCCATTACAGCTCCTTAGCCAAACAATGTTGTTGTTGTTAAGTGCCGTCGAGTCGGCCCCGACTCATAGCAACCCCTCCTTGGGTTTCCGAGGCAGTATCACTACAGAAGTAGGATTGC